CAGTAAATTCCATCATCGCCATTACACATACTAGACGTGATATTTGCATATAAATAACATCGAAGGGAAAGGAAATAAAAGATGCTGTCATTGATGCCATTGGTGGCTCCAACATCATTAGTGGGCGTACTCCGCTGTTCACTCGCACTTCTAGACACTCACTTAGTTGTAGAAAGAGACGACCATCGCCAGAGCGATCTGAGAGCGATCGGAATTCATTGAATAATTTTTTGCCTACTGAATAGAAAGAGAGGAGGAGATTGCCGGAATTTTTGCAGACAATTTTTCGCGATTCAGAACTTTGTTTGGTTGTTTGTAGGGTCCAAATATGCTAAGCCTCATCTGCGCTAATGACGTTACTTTCAGATTCTAATAGCTATGTGCGTGTCTTTTGCTGGTAATCTCGACAACCTGATTTCGTACGTAGCATTTGCACAATGGTCTCAAAGGGCTTGCACAATGGGAGCTTTAATATGGATTCGATTTCGGTAGGCGAACATTCCGAAACGAAGATGACCTACACTTTCATACCTTGTGATTTTCAGGCGATGGCCAGTTCATCCAGAAAAAATTCGGATGCCTATTATAATGCCTGTCTTTTTCTGTATCGTCTGTACAACTTTAGTCAGTTTTCTGATCGTTAGACTGTCATCTTCGAGCTGACCAACAAGACTAATTTTTTGTTCCAGGTAGTGGTGACCATTGTGGACGATTTTTCGTCAGCTGCTGTTGGCCTGGGTTGGTTTGCTCTACATAAATATACATACATGAAAGGAAAGGGATAAAATTTCTAGGCCTATCAACCCCTTTTCTGAGATGCGCCCGTATTCGACTGCTATTTGTAATTGTACTGTCATTTCAATAGGCCCATTCAATAACTTGCATTTGTCAGCCGTTATACAAGCCGGTGCTTTTATCCCCCCAGACAGATCTGGTTGCAATAAACCAACCCAAGAGAGACGGAAGAAGTTTGTGTGCTGCCACATGGGCTGCCTATTCCAATTCCGGGCCGTTTCCCCAAAATTTGGAGTGGTTTATGAAAACTTAACTCAGGGAATTAGTTTCCCCTTGTTGAAGCGAACCATTAATTTGGGATATTGTTTTTCTTATTTCAGGAATATGGGTCGGAGGCTTCATATTCTACTGGGTATTCCTATTTGGACCAGCTCTTCCTTCCAGCAAAATCTATACGGACTATACTAATAAAATTAATAGTTTGTCTAAAGTAACTCCTTTTTCTCCTGTTAGATCATAAGTAAATGGTTTTGTTTTCAGATCGAACTACAGAATGGGCGCAAATTATTTTTGATCTCATGCCTGAACGAAATGATGAAAATGGAATGGATAATGCGATTACGGTGGTCAATGACAAGGTTTGTTCATTTCGCTGTTAAGTTGAGCCGGATAATTTTTGTTATACAACAAACAACGAAGAAACATATTGAATAGTTATTGGGGCACAGTCAACGATAATTCTGAGTTGCAGCGCGCGAAATGGGCGGGGTGACCTAGTTTCGACGAACGCGCGGAACGGACGTTCCCCGAATTGCCTATTTCAAGTGGAGTAATGGAAATGATGGTGCGGATCTGTGCAAAAATGACAAAGAAGTCGCGAGTATCCGCGGAATTTGAAAAATACATCGCTTCAGAAAAAAACTAGTTGAAACAAGGGTTGTACGAGTTCATGTCGAAGGAAGAGGCATGGAGGGGTACTTGGACAAGATGTCAGTTGTGTGCGATTGCGTAAAAGTCGGCTACCGTATGCAAAAATGCTAAAGCTTGCCTTGTGATCGCCATGAGCTGGGCTGCATGCTTTTCAAAATTTGGAAGCTAGATGTTGATATCGTTATTGCCTTTGTTGCTGTTTTGATATTATTTTGTTGTGTTGTGTTGTTCTTTGTTATCTTATTTGCATAGCGATATTTCTTCGATCAACTGCTTGAATCTTCAACAAAGCTGCTCCATTGCGAATGGTGTGGTCTCTGAAAGGTCTTCAAAACACAATCACTTCTGGGCGTTGCATAAGATGGATAAAGTGGCATAAAGTTTTCCCACCGGCAGCAGCCATATCCTTGTGGCCCCAGATTCATCCTAGCAGGAACGTCAGAAAACATCTCACAGTTCACGTTGAAATTGTTCTTTCTCTTGGAATGAAACTGCTGCTCCCAGGAATAGCATGAGGAATATTGTTTGGCCAAAAAACGGCCTAAACCGGGCATAACGTACACATTCAAAAGAGGGCTGCACCATTCAAAATGAAGCGTCAGGACTCCGACGAATAGTATGACTATGTGGGAGACATTCACACGATTACGGACACATAACCTCCAACGAACCCCTTTCTTGCTACTTCTTTGAGGCCTTATGCTTTCAAAATCCGCCGATTGTCATGCTTTCTTCGCCAATTTTGTACTATTCTGACTTCCATACTAACTTCCATTATTTCATTTATAGTTATACAGAATTATCGTGAACTGTGCTTTTAATAGCTTCAAAATCAAAATCGCGAAGCGCCGATTTCTATTTCAATTTTTCACAATTTGAAGCTATTTTTACAGCGGTTAACTTCATCGAAATGTTCCCCAAATCCGTGAAAGATCATGATTGCCGAATGCAATTTCAGGTATTTCCTTCTGAGTCGACCATAAGTTCGATTTTCTCCATCGAGGGCAAGGACAAAGAACTAAAGACAAGACTTTGATGTACATAAATTGTATATACCAGAGTTCTAATTTCAATGAAGTAAAGCAGTTGCACGTATAGATATAGATACTGTCGTCGAAGTAACGATTTAACCTGCCACGCGTTAACACCGATGACGAGACCGTTTATTGGGCGCACTCAAACTTGGGTAATTAAACCTCATAAAAACAACTACAACAACGGTGAAAACGATCGATATGTAATCGACGCAATGTCTTTTACGGTAATGAAAATCCAGTTAACTGAGGCTAATAACTGATATACGTACGACAGTAAAAAGAGTGATTCGAAGGAAAGAAGCTTCAAACAACGTCTACACAAGAAACTATTACAGTAAAACAACGTAAGCAATACCAGTAATTGAGGTGATGACGAGATGAAGTGGTGATAAGAAGAGGCGCGATAGAAAAGAATGATTAAGAGTAAGATTCCGGAATGGTCAGATCGATAGTCGAGACGGGGAGGTTACCGGGAGATGGCGCGATGTCATGTGATCCCCTAAGCGGTGTGTTGCCGTCATGTATACCCTCGTTTCCCGCGCTTTGGGCGCGAAACCGATATGTGATCTCCTGTTGAGGGAGATCATGAGACGTCAGCAAAGCGTTATTTCTTTCGTGTGTGGTTGATGTCGTCGGTGTTCTTCTTCCAAGCCTTGGCCAAGATGATACAACTTTTATTTGGCTGAAGTTTGGGCCAGTCGCCTTCGTGAGAGCCTTGATGTCAGAAAGATTCCCAATATTTCATTCACCATCGACCTAAGCTGTATGTTCGACAACCGGGGTTGCCGGCAGAGCGCGCGCTCATCACTCATCGCTATGCGCTCAAGGCTCAACGCTCAACGCTTTACTCTGAAAGATGCCTGCCGTGTGTCCAAAATGAGAGCATGTCGTAAAGAGGGGTATGGGTACTTACGTGCGTCCGAGGATGCGCGCGGCAAATTGCGCGGCGGAGTGCGTGGCGTTTCGAACGACTCTGGCGTCTATTATCGGGGTACAAACTCGAAGTAGAGTAGTTTAGTAGAGTCAGATGACCCTTCAAATATACTCTAATTCAAATTTGGGCCCCAAAGATAGGCGCTGAAGTCGTTCAAATCACCACGAATTTCGCCGCGCAATTTGCCGCGCGAATCCTCGGACGCACGTAAGTTCCGTCCCCCCGTGAAGAGAAATGTGTTGTCTGTGTGTCAGTCCGTGCAATTCTGCGTCCACTGCATTTCATTTCACGGTAGTATTACTGTAAGAATCGTGTGCTCGTTCATGTATATTGCAGTATTTTGAATTTCCAAATTCCCTGCCGAATCCCTTCTCCTGCAGTCTTCTTCCGTTCAGGGATGTAAGCTGTACACGTAGCGGTAATACGTAGTAAATCGCTTTAGAGGTTTCACTAAGTCCATGAGAGTGTTTATCAAGCATTGAAAGGATTCTATCGTCGATGAGACAGCACGGGATCTTTGAATATAGCCCCAATAACAACGAAGTAAATGCAGTAAAACCCATACTGTCGCTTGTTTTGCTTTGCCTTTCATCTTCCCTTCGCTTTGTGCCAGTTTGTTTGGCATCCTTCAGTCCTTAAAACGTACTTTATCGCTTTTGAGTATCACCGAACACATTTTTTGGGGGTCGCTCTTGAGATTATCTCTCTAGCGGCCCCACTCTTTCGTCAGTATTCCGAGACTCCCTCTGTTGACATCCTTATTTACAAACACCACCAAAACCAAGACTTGTTGATTTTGTCACTCTGTTTTGGGGGTGGGGGACTTCACAAGACCTCATATTGATACATTTTTGACAATAAAGGTTTTTTTNTTTTTTTAGAAAAGCTTTAGCTAAATATGCAATCGCTCTTTTCAAAATTGCCCAGCTCTCCAACTGAATTACTATTCAAAACAAGAACATTCGATGAATGCTGACAATGGCGACAAACTCGATGCTTCCGGAGGAAAAAAGTCAAAGCTGATTGGGGGAACAGAAACTTTGGAAGCTTGTGTGATGTCAACGCCTTCAGTGTAGGCTTTCCGGGTGAACACCCACTGCCCTGTTCCGGCTCACTTGCTGTTGGTTGTTTCATTCCCGCAGACATATCCCACCACCAGAGAAACCATTCTTGATTGCTTCTTGCTGAAATTTTCGTCAATGTACTAAGAATAGGCTCTCCCCTATGACGTTCCCTTGGCATCCCACGCTTGCTTCTTTGTGTTCACCCTTCCTTTTCTTCTGTTAGTTCATTATTAGGACTTTTCTCTGTTCTGTCCAAGTAACGAAGTCACTGACCAATCGTCCGTGAGGCTCTCTTTATATGTTTCACCTCTTCAAATCAGCATCTCAATCCTTTCTTCTTACTCTTCCTCTACATCTGGAGGGAGAAGCCAATCATTCCTCACGCTCTCAGGGTTTCATCAGATTGCTTCAATAGGGATAAGTAAGTATGTAAATATTGCTTCTTTCAGAATCTCCACGAACTGAAACGCGTTTCGATCCACAGATACTCCTTCCCAGTCCTTTCCCTTACCCCGGTATATCTTCTATCTTTGAAGTTCCCATAGGCTCAGGCACAACCTTCACCACCTTGTGAGGACCGACCATGGTACTGACTTCTCGACCTAGATACACTTAGCTAGAGCATTCAGAGTTATTGTTCGGTTTAGCCCAGAGAGAGCGAAGGGTACCTTTTGATTTCTCGTTAACATCGCCTTCGTTAAGTTCAGTCTCAAGCCGATCTTTCTATAAGCACTGTGAAACATGGCCAGCATGCCTTCCGTCTGCTTGACGTTCGGTGTTAGAAGCCTGATGTTGTCTGCAAGATGTGGGTAGCGGCTTCCACCTTCATTTCTAAGTCTTTCCATTCCAAGTGGCGTATGATGCTCCAAGAGCGGCTCTGAAAAGTTACAAGAGAGGAGAGGTAACGGAAACCCGCTTGAGGAAATCGATGATCATCGGGACGACAGGTATTGGTACCATCTGCTTAATGGCACCGTGATACGGCTCATTATTATTGACTGGCTTTACCCCTCCTCCAATCAGCGAAAAATGGCATCTTCAAAGAATTGATGGACCCACAAGCCCACTTCAGAGGGATTCTCACGTCCCGTGAATGTGTGACACCGTAACCCCTAATACCCGAACCCTAACCCTATGGGCTTCACCCGGGGTACCTTTCCTTTGCGCCGTGTATGTGTAGGGTGTTTTGGAAGCGCTTCAGCGTGTGTTTGGGTCACTATGTCACACATTCACGGGACGATTAATCGAACGATCCGTCTTGTCAAGCCCACCACTTGGTCACCATCAATCGTTTCATTTATCCTCTGAGCAGCCTTCTTCCCTAGCCCCGACATCTGAACAGTATGTGAATGTGTAAGCTGCAAGGGCAAGATGAGCACCCTGCCTCTCTATGAATAGTGATATCATATCGCAAACCGAGACTGTCTTTTTTACGCCCTCTTACGGGAAAATCACTTATCCATCTATCCGTCCGCCCTAGTTCATCCTGGCTTATCTGCTCGCTATCCTTGCTTATCATGCTTCTTGTACTTAGTGCAGTATCCATCTAATCGCCCGTTGTTTCTCTCATCGATCGGCAGAAATTCAAGTACTTCCCAATTAGGCAAGTCGTAGCAACTCGACAATTCATAATTGTATGGCTCCTAGTTTTTTTTTTCTGCGGAGCCTCCCGTTCTGTCCCTAAATTCATTTTGGGCTTCGAATGAAGCATGAGAAGACTTCTAACTGTTGTAACTTCGGCCCTTTCATAGTTTCATAAAAGAGTAAAAGCGCAGGATTTGGATCGAAATCTCTGATAAGAGGCCATACAACTGCGAGTGGGGGAGAGGGTCTGCGATCATATCACTGTCACCCGGGATCTTAACAAAAATTCGGATTCAGGGTCGGTAAGATTCATCAAGAGGGGAATTCGGCTGTCACTGGGGAAGGCTGACGAGTTCAAAGTTGAAAAACCAAACCAGTCGGAAATTCTATTAGGGTGTTTGGAAAATATCTGCTCCCCTCTTCTAGGATTTTCCAAAAATTCCCCAGAAATACTCTAACGACAAAGTTCACGAGCATCTTGGGACATCAAGTTCTGGACGAATAGTGGAAGGGCAGTCCAGAAAAAGGGAAAGTTTGCCCAACTGGAGAAGGGTAAGGCTTCAGAAAGTAATAAAATCAGGTTTTGGGCGGGAAAGTGACAACAAAAGTTGCATGGGATAGGTATTTGGACGAGCTGTTCGAACGTGTGTGTCATTGCGTACAAATGGCTACAGTAAGCTACCTGCGTGCAACGTGTGTGTCCTGGTGCGAATGGTGCAACAGCTTCTACAACGCCTTGAGAGCTCATCCGCCTGTGAGTTTGTGCGTTGGCCTAGCCAGTTTCCGGGGCCCTATTTAGACCGTTCTTCGACCCAATCCCATGTACTGTCCTTGGGGGTTACTCATTACATCTCGGGGAGAGTCAGATATGTTGTGCGCCTAAAAGTAAGTAGTGTCTACATGTGGCAAATACGGGGTTACTTTCAAAGCCAAAAACCTGGGCTTTTCCAAAACTTTCCCACAGATACTTTCCGGGCGACCTGATAGCATCATTCGTGACTTTTTAGACTATCTTGTTGCATTTGCTACTGTCATCTTGCTCGAATACTCTCTCTCCCTCTTATTCATCCCAAGTGATAGAGTACGGAAAATGGACGAGCATTGAGCCCTATGAACCATATCATACGGTAGGCGATAAACCGAAGGCTCAAAATTGTGGTTGCCCAAGAGGGATTAAACGAATCATGCCCAGGGATCGAACCTAGAACCAACACGGACTCCGGCTTATCCTCCAATGCTTTATTGCTCCGTTGACTGGTACCAGATATGTCTGGAAGAGTGAAAGAACATTCCTGTAAGGTTGGTTTATCCCCAACCAGTTACTGTATGAGCCAAACACCCATTCATACGCTACAATGATTTTGAATGGAAGTCTAATGTGTGCGGACATCCCTAAACGGGATTGATTGAATGCCGG